AGCTCCTGCTAGCAGAGACACATGCTCCTGGGGAGGAGCAGGAGGAGGTAATTGGCTGGCAGTGGCTTTCATCTGGACACTGGCTATGGACTCAGGAGGAGGCAATGAGGAGGGCAGCCATGGTGGCCTGGCTTGGGCAAACTCAGATCCACAAAACAGATCAAGTGCAGGCCCCTGGGTACGCAGCAGAGGAGACTAGGTACACAGCCACAGCTGTGACTCCAGGCTGCCCTCCAGCAGTAGACCCGGGGAACCCGGAGGCAAGGCCAGAGGTGACAGCCTCCCTTCTTCGCATCCTGGTGGCTGTGAAAATGCTCAGAGACACTGCCCCCTCCCAGCCCTGACTAGGATCCTGTGGAGCGCTGCATTCCCCCTGTGTGGTGGGTGACTCAGGATGGACACTGTCCTGTTCAGGATGCTCCAACAGAACCCCAGGGCTCAGTGGCTTAGGCACCATAGGCCTTGAACTCTTGCAAGTACTGGAGGCTGGAAGTCCAGAGTCAAGGTGCAATCTCTATAGCCCACCCCTGGGTGTGGCTCAACGGTGGTCCCAGCATGCACAGGAGCCCTGCACAGAGAAGGTGCATGCTGAGACCCGTGGGAAGAGGCAGGTGACTTGTGTGGGCTGGTGGGACAGCTCACGCCACCTGTGGGGTGCTGAGTGGGTGGTTCCAGCCGCTGCAAGCACGCTCCTTCATCCTGACCAGTAACCACCGGCCCTTAGCCCTGCAGAGCTGGGAATTTGGGGTGCTGCTTCTGAAAGGGGGTTTTACCTACTTGGGTAGAATGTTAAAGTGCTACTTTGGGAATGTAAGGCGGAATGGGGGAGGGGCTCTGGGAGGAACCGTATGTGTCATTTGCAATGTCGGTGTGCTGCCTGCAACAGCTATGCCATCCCCTCCCTGGGCTTGGCCCCAACCTCGCCCACGAGGCTGAGTGCGATCCTCTTCCCACGATCCTGATCCTCGTAGGCTATGATTGGCAGGTTACAGATTTTGAAGGTGTGCTTCAAAGAGCGTGAGACAAAATTAACGTTAAGTGTAAGCGTTTGGGGTGCCACAGAGAACGTGGTTATCAGCTTCCGAGGTATGAGAACAGACGATGCGCGCCCCCTTCCCTCCTGCAGCCCGTGAGTCTGTGACGTGGGAGCCAGGCTTTCTTTCTCTGGGGTTCCACTTCCGGGATGCGCTGCCAGCCTGGAGGCTCCCTGGGCAGCAGCTAGACAAACACCTTCTCCTGCCCCACCAGGGGGTCCTGTGGGAGAAGCCATACCCCCTCACCGAGAGTCCTAAGTCCTCAGGGTTCCTGTGCACCCCACCCCCACGCCGATTGGAGCCAATCCACCCTGGCTTTCCTGTGGGAGTCTCACTGATGGTCTCTTAGGAGGCACCTGTGGCATCCTCAGTGTCTACCCACTGTGGATATCACAGGGGCCTCTTCCAGAGACACCCCCCACCTCCAGGGCAGCTGGTGACTGGGAGTGAGCCCTGGCCTTCTGCACTTCCAGCCACTAGGAGAGGATCCGACCCGGATGGACCACTTGTAAAGGATAGGCCCCTTGTTCCCTCTGTGTCTCCCTTTCCTCTTCTGCCCAGCAGTGCAGAATGGCCCATGGCTCCTGAGCATCTCATACTTGGCTGTTCCTGTATCATTCCTATGGGCAAAAAAGCCCAAGACCAACGCAGACAGGCCTGCCCTTGTGGTCTGGCCTCGTCCATCCAAACCCATAGCCACAGTGGAGCCCTGTCCCTCTCCTCCTTCATGAGAGCTTTGGAAAGCATGGGGTGGGCAGTGATGGAGAGGGCAGGAGGCCACTGCTGCCTCAAGAGCCCCATGGGAGAAACCTGCAGGCAATTCATAAGTATTTATGTCAGTCTCATTCACATAGAGACTCAATTACTTGGCCCAGAACAGGGAGGAGGCCTCACCCTTGGTAGCCAGGGCAGTGGTGCCTGCGGTTTCTCTGTCCCTGTGATCCTGTGAGTCTTTCCAGTGGTGACGTTCCAGTCATGCAGCTCGCTCTTCATTGCTACAGCACCAGCGGTCTTCTCCCTCCATCTGTGTGGACAGGCATGGACGTTGATGGATCTTCCATCCTGGTTTCTTTCGACTTGGGTGTCTTCTCAGTCCCCTGGCCTTTGCATGTCATGCGCAGGAATCCAGGAACCTCCTTAGCTAAATATCCAACCTTGTCACCTGCGAGGTCTACCCAGTCCAAAGAGCTACAACCCATTTCAAAGATCTCCCACTTTATAACGAGTCACCCTTCCCAGCCTTCCCAGACCCTCATCTCCAGCCGAGAGCTTGCCTTGGTCAACTTTATGAGCATATTTTCAGTGTACAAAGTAATGAGTTTCATTTCCAGACATACATGTTGTATTTTTTAAAATTTTATTATTTTATTTTATGTGTATGAGTGTGTTGTCTGCATGTATGTAAATGCACCCATGTCATGCAATGCCTGTGGCAGTCAGAAGAGAGCATCAGATCCCCTGGAACTGGAGTTACAGGTAGTTATTAGCTGCCATGTGGGTGCTGGGACTCGAACCTGGGTCCTATGCAAGAGCAGCCAGTGCTCTTAACCGCTGAGCCATCTCTCCAGCCCATATATATATTTTAGCATATGTCATATATAGTATACATATTAAGTACACAAATTTTAATAACTTGTCTAGACTCTACAATGAGAGAAAATGAATCCCTTTGAAATTCATATTCTAGTGTGCACTGCAAAACTCTTGCAGTTATACAAGCTTCAAAGTCATTTTCACCATGGTCCTACCATTTGTGCTTACTGGCATTCTCCAGACGGGTCAAGCACACACACACATGCACATGCCAAGCACACACACACACCAAGCACACACACACACCAAGCACACACATGCCAAGCACACACACAGGCTAAGCACACACGCCAAGCACATACACATGCCAAGCACACACAAGCCAAGCACACACAGACACGGGCCAAACACACACATGCACCAAGCACACATACATGCCAAGCACACATACGCGCCAAGCACGCACACACACACCAAGCACACACACATGCCAAACACACACACACACACACACACACACACACACACACACCAAACAAAATGTAAATAAAATGCACTGTCTTTTCTATCCAAAGGTTAAATTAGCCAGGCGTGGTAGTGCACGCCTTTAATCCCAGTACTCGGGAGGCAGAGGCAGGTGGATCTCTGTGAGTTCAAGGCCAGCCTGGTCTACATAGTGAGTTTAAGACAGCTGGAGCTACAGGGAGTCCCTGTCTCAAAAAGACCAAAAAAAATTTATAAAAGGTTAAATTAGACAAAACTTCGTAATTAAAAATTGCAAAGAGGGGCTGGAGAGATGGCTCAGCAGTTAAGAGCACTGGCTGCTCCTTCAGAGGACCTGGGTTCAGATCCCAGCACCCACATGGCAGCTATCAACAGTCTGTAACTCCAGTTCCAGGGAATATATGCCCTTTTCTGACCTCTGGTATTGTATGGCATGGGAGTACATACATGCATACATGGAAAATACAGTCACTCATAAACATAATATATAAGTTAATTAATTAATTAAAAATTACAAAGAAGCCAGTTGGCAGAAATGCAAATCCCTGCAGGATCAGCACATCTTGAAATCAAAATATGTGTTCAAGGTTACACTTGGTGCTGAAAATTGCATTCTCCTTAGCAAATGTGTCACTTTCAGTTAGCCAATCACATAAGACTGTGGGGTGGAGCTCTGACCACTCAGAGTGAGGCACAGGACCCCTTGTGTTAGGAGGGAAAACCCAGCAGGACCCTCCTGGGTCGCTGCGTGAGCTGGCACGGCCACGCGCCCTTCTGCAGAAGGAAAACTTTTTGCCAAAATACTTTGGATTGTGTGGTCATTCTCCTGAGAGTCCAGATCCATTTATTATACATAAACACATACACATACGCATGCAAGTGAGTCCACACACACCACTCACGTCCTTGACTTACACAGGTTCAACCTTTGATTTTGCAGTTTATGATGGTGTGAGTGTAACTCACCTTAGTATAGTGTCTTCAAATATTGCAGTTTTATCTTTTTCTGGGTTGGTGACAGGCAGCACACTTCCAAGCACAGCTCTCCGGGGGCACCCCAGGATAGAGGAGTGAACCCCAACACCAGTGTGCTGCATGGCTGAGCTCTGATGTGGCGTCGGTTCACATCCGACCCATTGTGATTGAAGCTCATAGTGGGAGAACTGGAGTGCTCTCAGCCTAGGTCAAGAGGCATCTGTGGACTGCGTGCATGCCTGTGAATGTGGAACTGACCATGTGATTGTGAGCCTGGCAAGCTGGACGTGTAAGGAGGTTGGAAACTGAGGCAGGAGCCAATTTGGCAGCCTGGAGGGCCACCTCTTTCAGGAGACACCGTCTCTGCTCCCCAGCTCCCCAGCTCTCCAGCCGACTGGGACCCCGTTGCCATCAGCTCAGTGTGAACGTGTGGGGCTCTGGGCTGGCATCACATGCTCGATTCCTTTGTGGGTGTGTGCGTGCTGTCTTGAGCTCAGGGATTCCCCTCTGAAGCTGTAGGCATTGCCCGTGGGATCTCTGGCTTGGGTGTCTTTGGAGCTCCAGGATTAGCCCCTGGGCATTTGGTGTCACCTGACTGGTTGCTCCTGCCAGGTCTGTAGAGCTATGTTGGGATAATTTCTTGTTGGGGATCTTTCCTTCCTTTTCTCTGCCTGCCTCCCTCCTTCCCTCCCTCCTTCCCTCCCTCTCCTCTCTTATTCCTTCTTTCTGTTTCATACATATAGACAATACACTCATACACATAAAATGAAAATAATAAATAAAATACTTTAAAAACCACTACTATAACCTGGATAAGCCCCAAACCTTTCTTCTCTAAATTGCGTTCTGTTAGCGTATTTGTCACAGCAACAGAAATGAAGCCCTCAATGGCATAAGTATGTAGAAACCCACATGTGTGTAGCTGACACTGAATTTGTGATTTCCACTTCACAGGTGGCTATCATAGCGGGGAACTTTGAACTTGCCGAGTACATCAAGAACCATAAGGAAACAGACATTGGTGAGTAGATGCAGTGAGAAACCACGCTCACCAACTGTCTAAATCTTCCTAGGACTGGCAAAGGGTCAGCTTTCAGCAACACTTACCAGAGGTGCCTATGCTAGCATGTCCTGGGGGACCTTCCCAGATAGCAGGACACCAGCGTGCCCTGGGGGACCTTCCCAGGTAGCAGGGCACCAGCGTGCCCTGGGGGACCTTCCCAGATAGCAGGGTACCAGCGTGCCCTGGGGGACCTTCCCAGATAGCAGGGCACCAGCGTGCCCTGGGGGACCTTCCCAGATAGCAGGGCACCAGCGTGCCCTGGGGGACCTTCCCAGATAGCAGGGCACCAGCGTGCCCTGGGGGACCTTCCCAGATAGCAGGGCACCAGCGTGCCCTGGGGGACCTTCCCAGATAGCAGGGCACCAGCGTGCCCTGGGGGACCTTCCCAGATAGCAGGGCACCAGCGTGCCCTGGGGGACCTTCCCAGATAGCAGGGCACCAGCGTGCCCTGGGGGACCTTCCCAGATAGCAGGGCACCAGCGTGCCCTGGGGGACCTTCCCAGATAGCAGGGCACCAGCGTGCCCTGGGGGACCTTCCCAGATAGCAGGGCACCAGCGTGCCCTGGGGGACCTTCCCAGATAGCAGGGCACCAGCGTGCCCTGGGGGACCTTCCCAGATAGCAGGGCACCAGCGTGCCCTGGGGGACCTTCCCAGATAGCAGGGCACCAGCGTGCCCTGGGGGACCTTCCCAGATAGCAGGGCACCAGCGTGCCCTGGGGGACCTTCCCAGATAGCAGGGCACCAGCGTGCCCTGGGGGACCTTCCCAGATAGCAGGGCACCAGCGTGCCCTGGGGGACCTTCCCAGATAGCAGGGCACCAGCGTGCCCTGGGGGACCTTCCCAGATAGCAGGGCACCAGCGTGCCCTGGGGGACCTTCCCAGATAGCAGGGCACCAGCGTGCCCTGGGGGACCTTCCCAGATAGCAGGGCACCAGCGTGCCCTGGGGGACCTTCCCAGATAGCAGGGCACCAGCGTGCCCTGGGGGACCTTCCCAGATAGCAGGGCACCAGCGTGCCCTGGGGGACCTTCCCAGATAGCAGGGCACCAGCGTGCCCTGGGGGACCTTCCCAGATAGCAGGGCACCAGCGTGCCCTGGGGGACCTTCCCAGATAGCAGGGCACCAGCGTGCCCTGGGGGACCTTCCCAGATAGCAGGGCACCAGCGTGCCCTGGGGGACCTTCCCAGATAGCAGGGCACCAGCGTGCCCTGGGGGACCTTCCCAGATAGCAGGGCACCAGCGTGCCCTGGGGGACCTTCCCAGATAGCAGGGCACCAGCGTGCCCTGGGGGACCTTCCCAGATAGCAGGGCACCAGCGTGCCCTGGGGGACCTTCCCAGATAGCAGGGCACCAGCGTGCCCTGGGGGACCTTCCCAGATAGCAGGGCACCAGCGTGCCCTGGGGGACCTTCCCAGATAGCAGGGCACCAGCGTGCCCTGGGGGACCTTCCCAGATAGCAGGGCACCAGCGTGCCCTGGGGGACCTTCCCAGATAGCAGGGCACCAGCGTGCCCTGGGGGACCTTCCCAGATAGCAGGGCACCAGCGTGCCCTGGGGGACCTTCCCAGATAGCAGGGCACCAGCGTGCCCTGGGGGACCTTCCCAGATAGCAGGGCACCAGCGTGCCCTGGGGGACCTTCCCAGATAGCAGGGCACCAGCGTGCCCTGGGGGACCTTCCCAGATAGCAGGGCACCAGCGTGCCCTGGGGGACCTTCCCAGATAGCAGGGCACCAGCGTGCCCTGGGGGACCTTCCCAGATAGCAGGGCACCAGCGTGCCCTGGGGGACCTTCCCAGATAGCAGGGCACCAGCGTGCCCTGGGGGACCTTCCCAGATAGCAGGGCACCAGCGTGCCCTGGGGGACCTTCCCAGATAGCAGGACACCAGCGTGCCCTGGGGGACCTTCCCAGATAGCAGGACACCAGCGTGCCCTGGGGGACCTTCCCAGATAGCAGGGCACCAGCGTGCCCTGGGGGACCTTCCCAGATAGCAGGGTACCAGCATACCCTGGGGGACCTTCCCAGATAGCAGGGTACCAGCATGCCCTGGGGGACCTTCCCAGATAGCAGGACACTAGCATGCCCTGGGGGACCTTCCCAGATAGCAGGGTACCAGCATACCCTGGGGGACCTTCCCAGATAGCAGGACACTAGCATACCCTGGCGGACCTTCCCAGATAGCAGGACACTAGCATGCCCTGGGGGACCTTCCCAGGTAGCAGGGTACCAGCATGCCCCGGGGGACCTTCCCAGATAGCAGGACACTAGCATACCCTGGGGGTTCTTCTCTGAGGGTCTTTAGGGTCAAGAAGACCTTGGAAACTGGGTGATACAATTCCTTACAAGTGCAGAGATCCCACCCCCACAGTAACCATCATGGGGTTCCCCCACAGGGACATTCACTGTGTTCAGGGTGTGGGAAGTGAGAATATTTGCTTTGTGCTGGGCTTAGGTCTAGGATTGCCCCCTGTTTGAGTCTCTGATTTTTCCATGATATTGATTAGAAAAAAACGCATGCATCTTATCATACATCCCTGCAGATACTGAGGGTCCATCAACTGTAGCTAGGGGTAATGTTGACCTCGGGAGACTGTGCATGTGAGGGAGGGCCTGGGAGGGTCTCTGCAATCAGGGAGCTGGCTTAGATGTGTTTATTGGAAGGTACAGGAAGATGAGCTTCTGCACAGACTGGATGATGACTAAGCAGAGAGAAAAGTTGTGGGGTCTCCTCCCCTCCCCAACCCTCCCATCACCTCTACTCGGTGTCCCCTTTCTAGTACCCCTTGTGCCAACCAGGAGGGCCATCTCTGGGGCTCCTCCCCGCTCCCACCGCCCTACCATGGGCTGGGCCCAGTCTTGCACAGTGGATGAGCCGACTGGCCTGCGCCCTCCAGCACTGGGCTTCCACAGGACCTGCAGCGGGGAGCAATCCCACTGGACCAGCAGTGGTGAGCTCTGGAAGGTGGCGATGGCCTGTAGAGGGGCTCTGGGATGGGGGCCTTAAGATGTAGCAGATGGCGTCTGTCCCTTGCTGCCTGTATCCCTCCCTCACCCCGCTCTGGGTGTCAGGGGTGGGAAACTGTGTCTTGCTTTCATGTCTTCGCCATGTTGAATGTGTGTGTGTCTTATGTTGAGCTTGGCCTGGACCTGCCCCTGCAGTGGGGCATTGGATGGAGCTGCACAGTCAGATGACAGGCTTGTGTCATCTCTCACCCTGCTCTGAACATCAGCGTTGTTAGAAGAGAGCCCAAGCCAAGTGGAGTCCCAGGCTCCTAAGCTATCGGGCAAGCCCATGTGGTGTAGAGATCTTGTCCTGCTCATGGGTGGGCATCCCCACCCCCAGGTGCAGAGTGGCTTCTGGCCTACAGAAGAGCTGCTCCATCTACAAATCCTGGATTTGGCTTCAACTTCCCCTTTGGTTTTACCATTCCAGAGGAAAATGGCTTCCTTCTGAGAGATCAAGGCTCTGGGAACCACTTCCCAGAGTGCCCTGTCGGGTGAAAGCCAGGGCCTGTTCCAGCCAACAGAAGAGGTGGGGACATAGCTGGTACTACTCTATGGAGGTCTGGAGGGGAAGGCAGGCTTTGAGGAGCGTCGAGTGACTGCTGGGGCCCCCAGAAGGGAAGTCGGACTGTGGCCCAGAACTCCAACAGGACCTCTCAGGGGAACCTGTACACCCTAAGACTGCAGCCTGCTGCGGGGCACAAAGTGCACGACCTGTCTCCTTCAGTGTGCTAAAGGTCCTGCAGCACTTAGACGGGGATGCCCAGTGCCAGAGCTCACCGCCATTTCTGTTACGGTCTTCATCGACCACCTTCTCCCCAGAGGACCCTGTGCGCATTGGTGGGTCTAGAAACCAATTCAGGCTCTTTTGAAAATGGGGGCCACAGAGGGTGTCGATGGCTCCTGTCCCTCTCCCCCACCCCAGACCCTAGAAGTTTAAAGGACCACAGGTGCTGTGTCTCCTTGGGAACCATGTGACCTGCTGATTGGTGGCTATTTAAAGGGCAAAGACATACGACTTTTCAGAAAATCAATGTTTTGCTGCGCGTGGACTATTATAGCTCCCTGTTCCCATCGTGTCCCGGTCCCCATTTGTCCTGGATGCTCTTGACGCCCCACCATGCCCACGTCTGCCATCGTCTGCCAAGATGGCAGATCCCCAGGCAGAGCTTGGAGCCACGTTCTCTCTCTTGATCTGTTTTCACTCTTCCGCATGAGGGAGCTCCAGGGTCCCCAGTCAGGGTCCCCAGCGTGGGGTACATCTGAGTTTTCTGGAAGTTTGTATGGAATGCGGGTACTCTGACAACCACTGGGGAGTGGTCTGGGTGCTAGCTGAAATCACTGTACTGAGGTCCTCTGGCAGTTCCAAGTCTGGGTGTTCAAACACTGGCTCTGCTTTTGTGTGTCAAGATCCACCCAGCATCCCTGAACACCCTGGGTGTCCTTTCTCTGATGAACCCGTTCAGAACACAAGGATTGGTCTGCCGACTAGGAGGTTTAAAAAGGCTGGATTTATTCTCCTAAAGTTGTGGAGGGAGGTGGAGGAGCACAAGGTCCAAATCAAGGTACTGGCAGGTGGGCCCTAGGAGCCTCTAGTCCAGGCTCTCTCTGGTGCTGGGTGGTGCTGGCAGTCCTTGGTCCACTTGAGTTAGAGACACAGCCCTGAAACCACTGCACTCTGGTCAGCTGGTCTTTTCTGCATGCATGTGTGATGCTTTGTCTCGGTTACCAATTTGGTGGGATTTAGAATCACCATGGAAACAAATCTCTGAGCATGTCTGTAAGGGAGTTTGTCGATTAGGTTAGTTGAGATGGGAAGACCCGCCCTGAATGCAAAGGGCACCATCCCATGGGCTGGGGTCGGAAACTGCAAAAAAGGAGGAAGTGAGCTGAGCACCAGCGTGCATCTCTCTCTGCTTCCTGACTGTGGATACAACGTAACCATCTGCCTCACACTCCTGGTGCCTTCCCGCCATGACGGACTGTAACCTAAAACTGTGGGCCAAGCCCTTTCTCCCCTGAGTTGGTTCTTGTCTGTTGTGTCACAGTGATGAGAAAACTGATGACTGTGGCTTAACTTCCCTTTTCCTTTCCCTTAGGACCCCAGTCTAGCCTATATCCAAGACCCGCCCAGCCCCCTGTGGGGCTCTCGAATTGTGGTTGCCTGTCTTTCTGGGCCATTGCCTCCTCCACGGCAGGTGGTATTGGACTCTCTCCACAGTGCCTGGGGTGCTGAGGGACCTCAGTGGGGACCCCTGCCACTCCCCATCCAAGCCTTCCCCCACTTTACCTTCTCAGTATAAAACCCTTCTCTTCAAGTACTGATCTTCAGAGCTGAGGGTGGACCTCACCCCGCAGTCCGCTCTCAGCATTTTCAGTGTCTGGGAGGGGAGGCATCAAGTGAGGGTGCTGGCGTTGGGCACAGGCTGCCTTCCTTATCTCACGTCTCTCTGGAATGGTGGAATCAGATGGCGAGTGGCCACATCGCCTTCCCGTCCTGGTTTCTGTGGCTCTGTGCACCCCCGCCCCCTGCCAGTGCCCCCTGTGATCGTAGATGCTGCTGCGATTCTTCCAAGCAAGGCTAACTTTCTTCTGTTCCTGGCCACTAAGGTGGGGCTGACGGGTGGGGACCGCAGAGGCTTCAGCTTGTTTTCTGCCTGTCTTTTGTCCCATTAACCACCAAGGGATGATGGTTGGGGTGGCAGAGAGGCAGGGACTGGGTGCTGAGTTGCAACTTTACAATCTCTTTGGACTGGGGGGTGGGTTAGGAGTAGGTGCCTGTGTCTACAGAGTCCCGCTCTGGGTGTCCTTCAGTCATCCGCTTTTTGTTTGAGACAGAGTCTCTCAGCCTGGAGCTTCGGGCAGGCTGGACTAGCTAGCCACTTAAGTATCGGGCTCCCCTGCCTCCGACTCCAGCCTTCCATCGCGTCGTCACTGGGATTACACATGTGTACCAACACACCTGTTTTTTTACGTGGGTTCTGGGGATTCAAACTCGGGTCCTCATACTTGAAAGGCAAGCACTCTATCGACTGAGCCATCCCCTCAGCCCCAGCCTTGCAATCACGTATTTTAAGCTATACCAGGGTTCTAGTCTGCTTTTCTGTTGCTGTGATAAACCAGGTCACAGGTCACAGTCCATCACCGAGGGAAGTCAGGCAGGAACTCGGGGCAGGAACCTGGAGGCAGGAACTGAAGCAGACCACGGAGGAGCGCTGCTTACTGGCTTGCTTCCCCTGGCTGCTCAGCTACCTTTCTTATACAGCCCAGGCCCGCCTGCCCAGGGATGGCACCACCCACAGTGGGCTGGGTCCTCCGACATCAATCAGCAATCAAGAAAATGCCTCACAGACACAGCCACAGGCCAGTCTGATGGAGGTTAATTCCTGAACTGAGGTTCCTGACTCTAGTTTGTGTCAAGTTGACAAGAACTAACCAGTACAACCACCGCTTAGGAAAAACAAGAAAGAACAGAGACCTGTTCCCAAGTATGTCCCAAGTGTTCCTGGGTCAGGCAACCCTTACTGCACATGGGAAGAGTGATGCTGGGATACAGTCTTAAAGGACTCTCTACTGGGAGGAAATGAAGGTAGGACCATTTGTCCAGGTCACATTGGGATGCATATCTGAACGCAGGGTGGTGGAAGGGCCCCATGTTCCAAACTGGGTGGGAGTGGGTCAGTCAAAACAGCAAACACCTCCCTGAGTTTCCATTTGGCTAATCTTCCTGTTAAAAAAGACATTTTAAAAGAGCGAATGGCCTCTGCTTTGGAGTGTGGGGGGGGACCTTTGTTTCCCAGTCTACACACCGCACTGCTGGGAAATCAGAGCACTTGGGAAGTGCCGATGTGGCTTTGCAGGAGGTCCCAGGAACCTAGGCCAGAGCTGTGTGCCTAATGGGCCCCTGAGAGCTGCGGAGTCCCTGTGGACACAGCTCCTTTCAGGGGCAGGCATGGCATCTCCGCATCTCCGGGTGCAGCAGCATCCGTTCACAAGCCGGACACGGAGTATGCTGCTCCTGTCTGATTCTGCGCTGCTGGCCCCCCCCCCCACCGCCAACTCCTGCCCCCGCCGCCTTCCTCTTTAAAATATTAAACGTGACCTCCATCAGGTTGTTTTAGCTGCCAGCTGGAGGAGAAAGTGATGGTTGGGAGCAGAGGCCGTGAATAGCAAAGTTAATCCCTGGCCTGTTGTCACCCGCGGTGAGCTGTGACTGGGCAGATGAGCCGAGGCGGCTTGAGGAGCCACAGCCACAGAGTACTCACGATGACTTCCACAGGACGGCTTCCCTTAAAAGCAAGGCCAGGGGGGAGCTGGGGAGCCCATGTCCGAAATAGGCATGCAAACATTAAGCATGTGGCGCGCTGATAAGCCGCGGACCGGGCTAACCTGTTTTCCCCAGTCTTTGCTGTGTTTTGTTCTTGCCTGGCTCTATGGGGAGATGCGCTGTCAGATGGATTAAATGACATGGGTTGTGCTTCTTCAGCGGAACAAGGTTTGTTTTTATCTACTGTGTCCCTCTGCAGCTAGGTACGAGAAAGAAATGAGAGAGAGAGAGAGAGAGAGAGAGAGAGAGAGAGAGAGAGGGGAGAGAGAGAGAGAGAGAAGAGAGAGTGTGTGTGTGTGTGTGTGTGTGTGTGTGTGTGTGTGTGTGTGTGTGTGCGCGCGCGTGTGATCGAGGACAGGTGTGTTTGAGTTGGGTGCCTGCTTAGCTGACTAAGGAGTACTTGGATACGGTTGCTAGGTTTCCAGACCGGGAGCCTGTATCATTACTCTGTGGATTTGCATAGATAATGGGTAGCGGATGGTATTTTCAAACAGATTCCTTGACGTAATATTGTGTGCGTTTGTGGGTGAGAATGTGAGATCCGGGTTTGTATTGACTGACGGTTCTTTGAGAATATATGTACCTGTTTGGAAGATGCCACCTGCTGGGAAATAAAAT